GCATGGGGTAAGCTCGGAGATATTTAAAGCTGTTGAAAACCCAAAGCCCTAAGGCTGTGGCTTGAGCATCCCAGGGAGTTTGCTCCTTGTTTGTAATGCCAACCTTTGCAGATGCTGACAGGAGGGTGCTGGTGTCTCCCAAGTATCTGGGTGTGGTGGAGTGGCCTTGTACCAGCAGATCTCCATTGCCTTAATTTTTGTACAAATACGGGCAGTTCCCATCATGTTTAGACCTCGAAAGGGAAGGCACCTGGGAAATCCCAGTGCCTTGTCACAGTTGCTGCGTGAGAGACCTCCTCTGCTATCTCCGGCATCACAAGCTCTTTGCAGCCTTTCACTCAGTGTTTTCATTAAATCCACAGGAATATGCTAGTCTGGGACCCCAACCCTCTGCCAAACTTCCCCAATAGGAGCCAACAGAAAGATTTTAGGGGGCAAATGTGCATGCACCCAGGGTCTGAGACATTCAGAGATGCTTAAAGGGCTGGGAGAGAGACTTGCAGGAGATGGCAGAGAGTAAATCAGTCAAGCTTGCCTAAGTTATGACTAAATGGGGAGTGTGATACATCTGCAAATATTAGAAATGTGTAAACACAGAGGAGGGGGAGGGATGGTTTATGGAATGATTGAAGGGAGTGAACTTTTGGATGGGAAAATGTAGGTCAAGTAGGAAGGAAAACTTGTAGGCAGTGAGATAAGTGCTTGCAGCGGTGAAACAACCTCCTCGGGTAACACAGGGAAGTCCCACTGACGGAGATGCCTAATGCTGAGCCAGAGGAGAGCCTGGAAAGCGGGCAGAGAGGGAGGGATGGGCCCAATGTGCCCTGTCTGGGCCTTGCATCCACACCCTCCAGGGAAGGGGAGCACCCGCGGCCACGTTGTGGGTTTGATCCCATTCCCATTTGTGGGCAAGTGCTGGGACCCGCTGCTGCGTGTGCTCTCGCTTAGCGTTTGCAGCAGAGATTTTGTGAGCAAATACAATGCTGCGAGCTGTATAAATGCATTTCATCTCTTTGCTATTTTTTATTCATGGAGCTATCTATTTGCTGTTTAAGCACGGAGCACTGAAGAGCAGGTACGAGAGAGAGAGAGACTCAAGTAGCAGAACACTGTTGGCACTGTCACTTGTTGCATAGAAAAAGCCCAAATGATTAATCACAAAATGTGAGGGGCAGCTTATCTTTTTTCTGGTGCATATCTTAATTCCTGTTTAAATTCGCAGCCTGTCTGTGGTGTAGTTAATGCATCCAGTTTTTAATCCTGAAAACTTGGGGCAGAATTCATCCTACCATGTGTAAATAACAGCATCGTTCAAGGCAGGGATTTGCTGAGAACTTGGACCAAAGTAAGGATGTGTCGCGTCTGGTGAAGCCCTGGGTGGTTCGAAGCCCATTTTACACCTTTTGGTTCTCTGTCCCATCTATCATCAGGTGTCAATGTCCTCCAAGATGTCCAACCCTCCATTAAGTCCTGTTAAAGGCCTGTGGAGAGCAATGATGGATGCTTTCCCGAAGGAGAAAAGCTCATCGTGCCTGTGCAGTCTCAAGTGCCACCCCACCAAGGGGTCCTTATGTGTCCTCCCCACTGCCCTACTGTCCCCATGCTTCTGCCACCGTCCCTGGGGAGCGGAGGGGCCTTGATTTCGGAGTCAGTCTCTTCTCTGGAGCCACTCCACTTTGTCTCATTGACATCCAGCAGGCCAGGGAAAAAAAGCAGGGCTGAATTTCATCCCTGCTGAAAGCCCTGACCACAGGGCTATTGACTGCTCTGAAGGGCTTCTGTCCTGGTCCCAATTAAACTTCTTGTGATGAATGTTTCACCAAAACTAACACGCTTCCATGAAAATTCTGGTTTTCATGATTTGGCATTTTCCAGGGAAAAAAAAAAAACCCAAACCAATAAAATAACTTGCCAAGAATTTCCCAACCAGCTTTAATCCTGAGACACCACCGTGGTGCAAACAAACGATGATAAGGATCTATGGAAACATGGGGAAAACAAAGAAACGATGTTTTTAAAGCCTCCAGAAAATAAGAAACGCAGCTGGGAGGAGGAGCATGGGGTTTTCTCCAAGCACGCCGAGGAGGGAAATTCATTCCCTTTGAATCACGGGGAGTCCTTTCTAGTTGGTTTCAAAGGAAGTTGGATGTGGTCATGAGCATGACCTTAACTCTGTCACTAGATAAATCCGTAGATGAGCTGGAAGTGCCACGGAGGGTGCTGCTCATCCCGGGGGTGTCTTGGGTTTCTGGCAGCTTGAGGAATCACTGCTGACCATGAGAAACAAGAGAACTGCCCCCCTTTTATAGCCAGCGAAGGCAATTTCCACCCGTGCCTGATGCTCGGGAGATATGGGCTTAACTGAAGCCATCTGGGCTGTGTGTGGCTGTGATGGGCACAGAGGCACGGAGGGTGGAAGGGAAGAGCTGGTTTTTGCTGGGGAAGGTCATCTTGGTCAGCTGCAGCTGTGTCTCAGGGGGGAGGAAGATGCTCTGGGATGGGCGATAAGCGGTGCTTGAATTTTTCATGTGATGGACCAAGCTCTCTGGCCACCGATTTTGGCAGAGTCACCATGGTCTGTGGCAGTGCCTGTCTATAGGGGCCTTTAGTCCATGTGGTTGATTAGCTTAATCCTGTGGTGGACTTAGTTTGTTAGATGAGTCCCAGCACTTCGGCCGTTTATTTTAATTGATCAGTGAGTTCCTTAAGCCACCCCAATGTACTGACATGCATTTCTCACGTGAGCTAAGAGGACATCTCCCTTCCCCTCTCCCCTCCGTGCCTCTACCCTGGCATTTTGGGGGTGACATGTTCCTCTCGGTGGTTTCCCCTAGGCTGTCTACAAGGCCTGGCTGTGCTCCGAGTATTTCAACGTGACCCAACAACAGTGCCGACACCGGATCCCATGCAAGCAATACTGCCTGGAGGTGCAGACCAGGTGCCCGTTTGTGTTACCGGACAATGATGAGCTGATCTATGGAGGTTTGCCTGGCTTCATCTGTACGGGTAAGGAGGTCCGGGGAGTGGGGACGGGCTCCTGCAAACCCAGGGGGGCACAGGGAGATGGGACAGGGGTGGGTGCTGATGAGTCCCATTGTGCTTCGCAAGCCACATGACGGATTTTGAAGCGGTTTTTGGGGCAGAGGGGGAGGAGACAGTATGGAAGCATATGAAGCACTGGCTACCCACATGTGGTCATCTGGGGGGTAGGTGTAAGTGGTTGATGGAGAAACGGCAACAGCCCACAGCTTAGTGCAGGATATTAGGGCCCTACCTCTAACTGAAAGCTAAAGCAAGCATGTAAGGGGCTGGAGGTGATGGGATTAAAGCAGGGCTGGGACATTTTAAGTGCTACAAGAAGCGTGCAGGGTGTCCTGAGCATGTCCCTGGGCTGTGGTCTCTTTGCCTGCACACTGGTCCGCATGGGCTGGCAGCCCAACTGGGGCTGGTACCAGCGATCTCTGCATGTCCCAGTTCTCAGGCTCTGCCCATCCTGTCACACGTGGCTGGCAGGCACCAGGGCTCGGTCCCTCTGCAGCCCTGTCCGTGGTCTCCCACTGACCCCCTCCTCTTTCTCCGCTTCCTTCCCGCAGGGCTGCTGGAGCACCAGCTGCCTGACGAGGAGGCCAAGTGCTGTGAGGTGCAATGGGACTCCTGCGACCACCCCCCAGACAGCAACGACAACACATCCCCCAAATCCACAGCGTCCGAGTCACTCCATTTCCACCGCCACGACCCCCACCTCCATCACCAGCGGCAGAACCACTACCACCTCTACCACCACCCCCACCACCACCACCAGTACCACCATCATCACCATCACCATCATCACCATCACCTTTGCTGCCGGTCTCCGCGGGGTCTCGCCTTGGCGGCAGCAGGATCAGACTCTGCGTGCTGGTCCTGATGCTTCTCCACACCATGGTGTCCTTCTCGAGCGTGCATGGCGGTGGCAGCGGAGCGGCCGGCGGAGGGCTTGGCCTGGAGACCCTGCCCGCCTTGGAGGAGAGCGTGGCACGGGATGAGTGATGCAGAGGGGAAAGCCAACCTCCAAGAAGAATGCCAGATCTTTTTCCACGAAAGGGGGCACATGCTATTCCTCCAATGGGAGGCACGGGATTGGGGGTGACGCACACACACACACCCCCGCACATACCCCCAAGAGCTGCTCGCCGCGGGGCATCCCCGTGATGAAGAGTCTCTAATGCGCACAGGGCTGCGGGACTCGGCTTTGAGAAGGGTTCGGTCAGCAGCAGCCAGGCAGCGCCGGTGTGGGAAGGTATGGCACGGGGTGGCGCGGGGAGCGGAGAAGAGGGGGTCACTTCGGAAGAGGTGTCCCCATGGGACTGCCACGCATCTCCCAGCCGCCTGTCGCGAGTGCCTTGGGCACCTGCACCTTACCAGCGATGTGCCAAGGATTTCCAGTCAGTGTAGCCCCCCATTTCTTTTCCTCCGTGGTCTGTAAATCTCAAAGGGCCAGGTGGGCAGAGAGGCAGCACCTCTTGGCATAGCCTTACCTCTCGTCCTCCTGTCCCAGGGGATAATCCCACCAAATCAAGGCAGAGCCGTCCTCGTGGGGCGCAGCGTCCTCAGTGTGGCATCCCCCTTGCTGATGGGATTTGGGGGACAGGAGCGGGACGGTTTTATGCTACACTGTGGTGCTCCTCGGGATTCCTCTCATTACATCCCTGCTCTTCCAACCTTGCCTCTCTTGTTTCTCTGTGCAAGGATGTGGAGAGGGAAGGAGGAAGCATGGAGCAGGAGAGATGTCCCTAGTGTTCCCACATCCCCCAAGTGTCCCGATGATTTTTTTTAACCTCTTTTTTTTTGCTTTCTTTCCTGACTGGAGCAGCTGGTCTCAGAGAGGAGTTAGGGAGATGAGAAGCAGTGCAGAGGCTAAGTGAGGGAGTGGAATCATGCATGGTAATGATCGGATGCAGAGCATCAGAAGACATCCATCCTTCCACGCTTCCCAGCTACAAATCATCGACTGGATGGCAGAAGGATTGGGCAAAAGGGCTGGAGAAATCTGGCTTGTAGGGAGAGTCCCCAGCACAAAGAAGAGGCGCTAATAAAGCCCAGCTGGGAAAGAGGTTTTGTGA